GGACAGAATATGTTTTCTTTCTATGTCAAAGGCATACCACAAAAATAAACTTTAATAAGAAATCAGTGTGTACAAAGTACAATCCACAAAATTAGGTTAAATTATGATATAGGTGTCATTCTCACATTTCTTAGTCCCATTTTTTAAGCTGCACCTGACATGTGAGCAGAACTAGAAGGGGGATGGAGATGTAAGCAAAACTCTAAGATGAATGGTTTGGAAATGACTGCCCATAGGCAAAATTGGGCTCACCACCCCAGTTTTTGTAAGTAAAGTTTTATTAGCAGACTTCCACACCCATGCATGTAAGCATTGTCTATGGCTGCTTTTACAGTGAAGGGCAGAACTGAATGGTTATGATAAACTATATGGCTTGCAAAGCCTAAAATATTTACCACCTGGTCCCTTAAAAAAAAAAAAAGGCTGCTACAGCATCCATCCAGAGACTTTTCTTTTCTTTCTTTCTTTCTTTTTTCTTTTTTTGAGACGGTGTCTCGCTCTGTTGCCCAGGCTGGAGTGCGGTGGTGAGATCTCAGCTCACTGCAAGCTCCGCCTCCTGGGTTCACGCCATTCTCCTGCCTCAGCCTCCCGAGTAGCTGGGACTACAGGTGCCTGCCACCATGCTGGGCTATTTTTTTTTTTTTTTTTGTATTTTTAGTAGACATGGGGTTTCACTGTGTTAGCCAGGTGGGTCTTGATCTCCTGACCTCGTGACCTGTCCGCCTCAGCCTCCGGAAGTGCTGGGATTACAGGCATGAGCCACCACGCCCGGCCCATCCAGAGAGACTTTTCTTACCTACTCTCTTCAATCCCAAGGCTACCAAGATGACCTGTGAGTGCATGGAGGAAAAATACTAAAACTTCTATTTGTAATTAACTTTCATCTAAGAACTAGTAAAGAAATTCAGCTTCACCACTTTTTAATGTTGCCATGCATCATATAACTTATGGAGGAACCTGGGGAAAAGTGGGAGTTCCAGAACAGAGGGCTTGCCTGCAGCACCATTACTTGATCGCACTTTCAGTACACTTGACATATTGCTATTTCTGTGTGGCAGCATAATTGGCTTTAGAGATTATATTACTTAGTTTTAACTGAACTAGCACTCCCCAAATGGACACAGTAGCTTAAGGTTCTTCCAAAGATAACATGGAATCAATATTCTTTTTGTTTTGTTTTTGATTTTGCTTTTGTTGAGAATCAATATTCTAATAATAGGGCAAGTAAAAGCATACAACAACAAAAAAAGATAGAGCTACCATTTTTATCTCCAATATGAGCTCTTTGAAACAACAAAATTATGATTTAAAGAAGTGTTTATTTTGATTAAACCTGTACACCTATGTATGCACACGGGCATGTGTGTGTGTGTGTGTGTGTGTGTGTGTGTGTATGTGAGAAGAGGAACTATCACTTTTACCAGTAATCATGTCCTATCAGACTCTTGTCCAAGCTGCACTCTCACACTTTCTCTTCCTAGTAACCTAGTAATGAATTCACCATGTGTCAATCAACAGCTCTGATTTATATCTGGATTTTTATTTTTATTTTTTTGCTTTTTCTCTTCACTTCACCCCTTTTCTCCAGCCAGCAACATAGGCATATTGTCGCACAAAGTCATTGCCTCATTTATCCCTGAAATTGAGAATTACATTTCCACATGTAATTTTTGGATCTTCAGATCCAAGAAGAATGACCTGGAAACAGGATTGCAAGAGACTACCCTCTCCTTGCCTCCTTTCCTTCTTCTTGACCAAAAGTGTCTTCCTCTCAAATTCATTAGAAAGAGGAGTTGGCCGGGCGCGGTGGCTCACGCCTGTAATCCCAGCGCTTTGGGAGGCCGAGGCGGGCGGATCACAAGGTCAGGAGATCGAGACCACGGTGAAACCCCGTCTCTACTAAAAATACAAAAAATTAGCCGGGCGCGGTTGTGGGCGCCTGTAGTCCCAGCTACTCGGGAGGCTGAGGCAGGAGAATGGCGTGAACCCGGGAGGCGGAGCTTGCAGTGAGCCGAGATCGCGCCACTGCACTCCAGCCTGGGCTGGGTGACAGAGCGAGACTCCGTCTCAAAAAAAAAAAAAAAAAGAAAGAGGAGTTAATATCTATAGGGTTTTAGCCTTAAAAGCTGTGAATATAGGATCCAAATTAAGAACAATGGAGTTGGAAATTTTAATTATATAAAGGACCCTGGGGAATTAGGTAAAACCTCAGCTTCTTCATTCACTATATTAAAGATCTCTCCTTTTTCCTAACCTATAAAACGTGTGTGGTAGCATCTGTCTTTCCTTTCTCATTGTTATCAGGATAACTTGAGATAGTTTATGAATTGTAAGATCACTTTAAACTATAAGTATTAGATAGACTTTGGGGATCAATCATTTTCAAACTTTGAATTCACACAAAACCAAAACAAATCAGAAAAGTGACGGGAGGAAAGGAGACAAAGAGATCAAAAAACAAGGTGTGCTTTCCATGACAGGCACTAACTTACATACACAGTTTTATTTAATTCTCACAACAACCCCATGAAAAACATTAGGAGCCAGATGCTCTGTAAGTTTGTCACCTAACCCAGATCACACAATTAGTACTGTCCAAATCCACCTCCTTTTAGCCACTGTACTGTGTAGACATATCTTCTGCTAGCTATGTAAATTTGGATAAGTGCCTTTTTTTTTTTTCTTTTTTTTTTCAGAGACAGAGTCTTGCCTGCCACTCAGGCTAGAGTGCAATAGTGCGATCATAGCTCACTGTAACCTTGAACTTCTGGGCTCAAGTGATCCTCCTACCTCAGCCTCCCTTCAAAGTAGCTGGACTATAGGTGCATGCTATGACACCTGGTTGCTTTTAAAATTTGTTATAGAGATGGGGTCTTGCTCTGTTGTCCAAGCTGAATGACATATTCTTTTGGCAACTCGTTTTCCTCATTTCTAAAGGGATGAAGACTAGCACTACTACTATGATGTACTAGCTGTAGTCTCACATCTAATCCTAACCAAACCTCATGGCTTAGAAGTGCTCCTATCAATTTTGTCTTTGAGCAACCAAGACAAAGCATTAAAGTACCATGTTTAAGGTTTTACAGTCACTCTGTGGTGGGGCCGGAACTTGAACTGCCGGCTCCAGATTCATTTTCCTTCCACACGCTATCTGGCAGTGAATTTTGTAGGGTTAACTAGAAAACATCAGTAAAAGTACATAGCAAAATATATGTTGCACAGTAGGTACTCAATATATAGTACATTTTATCTTTCCTAAGTAAATTCTTACTTTCTCTTGAATGATGATCACCACACAGTTTTTATTCTCCGGGAGGAAAATAAGGACTCGGGAGAAATATCAGTCTGGGTTGAATAAATAAAGAGCAAGCCACAGCTGGATATGAATGTGGATTATGATACACAGACTACAAACTTTCGAGTGACAGCCAAGAGTTCCTTCTTACCAATGTGTGCTATCTTAGTAAACTTCACTCCCAATTCTTTCATTTTTGAAGAAAAACATTTCCAGCTAATAACACAATTACACTTAAGTATCAGAGCCCATTTGAGTATTATTGCATTTGTTAAATCTAACTAAGTCCAAATTACTTCCTCATTGCTAATAAGAGAAAGAGAGGGAGGAAGAAGAGGAGGAGGCGAGAACTGAGGGGAAAATAGTTTCGGAGGGTTAAAGGAAGAAAAGAAGACCCATACACAGAATACTAGAGAGAAAACAGTGAGCTATCAATACTGCATATAGCCTCAAGTCCAATAAATGTCAGTTAAACTTGCTGCTCACAGTTTCTATGGAAACCCCTTAAGTTAGGAGTGGAACACAGACATTTTTTGGACTGCAATTCACAAGCTGTTTATTTAATTATGATGAAACATGAGACGGTTAGGGACAATACTATTATCATACTGATAGCATTTAGAATTCAACAAATAGGTATGGCAAAATAAAAAGTCGATTTCTTTTTTTAAATCATTAACTCCATGTGCATTGCATGCAAATAAAACTCATCTTGTTTTTTTTTTTTTTTTTTTTTATGGGACTTCACACACTATTTCCTTCAGGCGAACCCCAAATTAGTCAAATGACATTCATTAAAAGGGAATTCTTCAGAGGCCTCATGCCAATTCTACCCCCACATGCCCAGTGAACAAAACCAAGGTCACAGCATATTTTCAATTAAACCCAAGATAGCACCAAAGTGCAGCACAGCTGGGAAAACAAGCACATTATTGCCCCATAGATCATTTGTGAGCAATGAATAGGTCTCTGGTGTTTTTCTGTTTTATAGGTATTGGAATATAAAAAGAAAATAGCTTCAGATTAGCTTTTGCCTTCCAAAATAAACAACTACTTTTAGGGCATTACTCCTGGGGGTCTGAAGAAACATGATGTGAAGCCATCACTGTTCTGTGTCTGATGGTTGAAAATCACTTGCTTAGGTATTAATTTGGCTGCAGGAAACCATCTAATTGATGTGCTCATTTGCACCTTTGTTTTTTCATTAGACAAACATGTAGTTTTCCTCCTGTTATGTGTCAGTCACTGTACCAGGGACAAGGGAGACAAGAAGGTTAAACTCCAGTTCCTGCCTTAATAATAATAAAGTTTTTGGAAGGAAGTGCATTAATTTTGTCAAATATTTATAAAGGGACAACTACGGCTCATAGGTACTAAGTAGCTAAATAAGTTAGAATCCTGCCTTCAAGGAGATTACAATTTAATGACGATACAATAAATCATAGAGCAAAGAGTCAGTGTTCCTGCCTCCTGCTACCTCCCCATCTTATCTCTCTGCAGGTAGGACTACCGCTCATGGGAACTATGCTACACAAGGTATATAGGTTTACGTGTATGGGATGGTTTGCTGGTGGATGGTGGTGTAAAGCGGGAGCTTCAGAAATATTGCCACGGGAGAACCACATTTCCAGTTCTGTCCATAAGCCACTAATACTCTTATAAAATATTTAGCCCATAAAATATGACTGAATGAGGAACCACTCACCAGATAAGTGAATCCCAAGGAAAGTCATCTCTCGAGTCAAGCAGGGAACATGAGGCTGTTTCTAAAGTGGCAAAGAGAAACACAAGAAATTTGCAAATATGACTCAGTGGATATGTCTTTTCTACTATATTGCAGCTTTGTTTTTGAAATTCAGTAGTGGTTTGCAGTAGCTGGACTTCCCACAAATCACTCGTGCTAGCAAAACCAGTCATTGCCATTATCAGATTTGACAGTGTTTAATGAGTCACTTCATATTAGCTGTAGTTGTAGTGTTCAGCATACTGTGGGAAAGATTTAGTATGAATCATCACCCACCTAGCTCTCCACTGGGGTCTCTATGCTGTAAATAGGCAGTGCGTTTGCCAATCTAAAAAAAAAAAAAAAGAAAGAAAAAGAAAATAAAAGCATCCATTAGAATAATTCGGGACAATTCTTGATCTGCCACCACCACAACCACTACCACAGACACCACTGATGACATTTATTGAATTGCCACTGTATTTTAACACTATCCTGGGCAGAAAGCCAAAGCAACTCTCCTAACTACTGGCCATTTTGAACAATACATTTTGTAATTCCAATAAAAAAATGCATTTGGATTCAGAAGAAATGTAGTCTATACTTGGTTCTGACTTATTAGATACATGACCTTAAGTAAGGCACATTTTCTCTCTGATCTAGTGTCCTGATCAGAACCGCATCATAAGATTAAATCAGATAATACATTATAATGATGAATAGGAAACAGTTAAATAGAAAACTCAATTATTAAAGTCAAATGGGATGTTAAGAGTTTGACACAGGCATCTGCTGCAAACTCTATTTGGGATTGCCCACCACCAACAACACATCCCCAAACAAGAAAGATATAAAATATTTCCTTGCCCTATACATCTCTCATCTCACCCCACTACTCCTGTAGCACTGGCAGAATAAAAATTAGAATCTGAGACTGAGGGAATGTACAGTACTTAAAGCAAAGGGATCCTAAGAGATAGAGCTCACATTTTACAAAGTATGATGAAGTAAAAGAAACTTTCTGTAATTCCAACAAATGCAGGTCATCCAACATTGGAAATATAGTTGGTATGGACTGTACAAGGAGGAGACCCAGAGCAACTGCAGATAGAAAGATCCCTCACAATTAGTAATCAAGATCAAGGGACTGACATGGATATTAAAATCACCAAGAAGCCTATCAAGTGTTAGTATGGAGAGAACAACAGGGAGGCAGATGTTAAAATCTTCAAGGGACAAGGAGGAGTGAAGCCCACGGCTATGGCTGACTCCAACAAAAAGTTGTTAGCAGGTGGTATAATCTGATGGTGTAAGCTTCACAGCTGGGCATTTTACTGTATTAGATGATTTTGTTTGGAACAGACAAGGTAAATAAAAATGCTTTTTGAATGTCATAGCAATATATCACTAATGAATGTTATTATTATATAAGTAAAACTGAATATGATCAAAATTTATTTTAGAGATGATCTGTGGATTTTCTGTCCATAGGTTTAAAATAAATGGATAACTCAGCCAGGCGCAGTGGCTCACACCTGTAATCCCAGCACTCTGGGAGGCCGAGGTGGGTGGATTACCTGATGTCAGGAGTTCAAGACCAGCCTGGTCAACATGGTGAAACCCTGTCTCCATTAAAAATACAAAAATCAGCCAGAATGGTGGCACCGCCTGTATTCCCAGCTACTTGGGAGGCTGAGGCAGGAGAACGGCTTGGACTTGGTAGGTGGAGGTGGCAGAGAGCCAAGATCATGCCACTGCACTCCAGTCTGGGTGACACAGTGAGATTCCAAAAAAAAAAAAAAAAAAAAAGAGAGAGAAAAAAAAATCTCAATCTTATAAAATGTTTTCCCATATCTCATGGTTTCAAGAAGTATTAACTACTCTTCAACAGGATATATGAAATATGAATCGGAATGTAAAGTGCCTGAGATTTATAACTTTAGAGGAAGGCCATAGGTAACAATTAGTGCGTTAGAGAGGCAAAGAAAAGGTGGGAGGTGAAAACATGTTTATTGCTAAATCAAATAGACAGTTCTCAATTTTCATATTAGGCAAAAATTATTAATGTTTGACATAATGATCACTCTGTCCTTTATGAAACACCTTTTTCACTTGGCTCCTATGAAACAACTCCCTTGCTTCTCCTCTTGCCTCAGTGATAACTCTGCTCAACATCCACTGCTAGTTGTGTCTTGTCTCACAGGCCAATGAACCTTGGAGTGCCCCAGGTCTCAAATCAGTGGACCTCTTATTTATCTATATGCACTCTCTAGGTGATCGTATAATGCTTTTAAACACCATCTATAAACTGAAGACCGCCAAACTTAAATCTCCAGCAGACTCGCAGACTTGTATGTACTACGGCTTATTCAAGACCTCCACGTGGAGGATTCAAAAATCAACCTGTCTACAGTCAAACTCTTCATTTTGATTTAACCCGACAAAGACTTTTTCTAATGGCAGTTGCATTCATTCATTCATACAACTAAACATTTTAAGCTCTTACTGTGCGCCAAGCACCATTTCAGGAATGATTTTTCTAGTAGCTCAGGCCAATGTCTACCTTGAAACTTTTTTTTTGGTCTCATACCCTCTCTTTTTGGATTGTATCACCTCTATACCTTATCACCTTTATATCCTATCACCCATGTATTGGAAATTCTGTGTAGCAGTATTCTGGTTTTTTCTCCAAACACATCTATTGCTTTGTCTTGGTCCAATTTCTATCTGGATAACTGGAGTATTCCATAGCCTTGTCCAATATCTGAGTTTCCTGCTTCTAATTTCTCCACACAGTGGAGGGATCCTATTTGAATTAAAGTCAGATCATATTCCTTCTCAATGCTTCTCACAACACTCAGAGTAATATTAAAGTCCTAATGGCCATTCATTTTTTTTTTCCTGCATCTCTCCTGCTTGTTTGATCTCATTTTCCTACAACTATCACTCATATTCACTCCACTCTGACCACCACACTGGCTCCTGATTGTTTCTCCTGCACACCAAGCATAGTGCTTTCTCAGGAACCCTGCACATGCTGTTCGTCTGCCTGGAATGCCCTTCACCCAGACAGACCTATACCTTTGCCTGCACTCCATGACAACAGTGCCACCTTTCATGCAAATACCTGTATACTTTGCTTCTTCACTTCCTTCAGGGCTCTGCTAAACTTGCTCAGAGAGGTCTTCCCTGGTTATGCTGCTTAAAACATAACCACCCTTGTCCCCTCATCATTCTCTGTTCCCTTATTCTGTTTCATTTCTGTTGATAAAACATCTCAAAAGTAGAGATAACATGTACATATTTATTTTCTGTCTCCTCCAACTAGAATATGAGTTCCCAGGATATGGAGTTTATATGATTTGTTTATTGATGAATCTCCAAAAGTAGCCCGATTTTATAGGCGAGGAAACTAAAGCTCAGAGAGATGAGTGCCTTCCTTGAGGGCTTTTCTGGAGAAAATGGGGATTACTAAGTAGGAAGGAGAGTACAAACATCGGGGTGGTAACGATAGCTAGATCAGAGCTGTAAAAAGTACAGCAGTTAAGTTCATAAATTCTATCATCAGAGATAGTCATTTTGTGACTTGCGGGAAGTTATATAAATTTTTGGGTTTCAATTCCCTCATCTGTAAAATTAGAGTGATCATAATAGAGTCAACTTCAAAAGGTTGTTCTAAACTTGAAATGAGATGATACCCATAAATCAACAAGCCTGGCATGTCATACATTCTCTAATAATGGGAATTATTATTATCTGAGAGTTAATTTCTTTGAATTGTAGGTATTTTTCTAAATTCTCCTTCATTAAAAAAATGCTGAACATAATTATCCATCTGCTACCAGCAGACTCTTCATTCATTATTTATTGAGCACTGCTCGCAACACTTACAAATGGCTAAACAACTCATCTACTTTTCTAAAATGATTATTTAAGGCCAAATGTGGTACTTATCCACGAATGTATTATTAAGCCTGGACGTGGGAAAATACAAATCAAGGTGATTATCCTCCTTGATCTTTTACATAGCACTTTGTTGAAAGGTCTTGTTGAAAACAAGACTGGTAATAAGAAAGATGATGATGAAGATTGTATTTTTTGTTAATATTATAAATTATAATTTGAAAAATTGTTTCATGTGTATTATCCTATCTGACCCTCAACAAATATAGGAGGAAGGCAAACGAGATTATAATTTTCATTTTGCAGTTAAGAAAGTTAAAGTATAAGAAAGTTAAATAATGTTGTTAAGGTTTAAAAAAAGCCCTAATATGTGATGAGTTAATATAAGAAGTCAAATATTTGAAGCCTTAGGCTAGTTATCTGCCTATTACACAGTCTTTTAACACAAGGTAAACAGGAGGTATTTTCTGCAATGAATCCTTCCAGGTTGTTTACATTTATAGAGACTCATTCTTCTGTGTTCCTTTAACACATTGCACTTCTATGTCCAATGTGAGAAGAAGGGAAAGAACATTTATTGATCAACTATCAACCAGTGTGCTGCTTTTCTATCTCGTACTTGCTTGCTTATGTGTCTTTCTGACTCATTAGACTGCATGCCCCACTGGGACAGCCAACATAGTCCATTCCATGGGCATGCATACACTGCAGTAACTGCTGTGTAATATGTGTTCAATAAATGTTTCTTGAATAAGATAATGAAATAGTTTATTTGGTGAAATAAGCTTACATATAGAAAAAAGCAACTAAAGCATATCCCAAAATTTAAACTATATAATCAATTAGCATGATTATAGAGAATCTCATCAAATTGTCATCTCCTAGGTCAAAAACTGGTGACTATCAACAGTTTTATGTGGTTCAAAACAATAGTTTCCAAAGAGAAATAATGATTTTAGAAGTGCCCAGTTGGCCAATCAAATTTCTAGGATCTGTGGAAATCCTTTTTGGCTTATGTCTAGTTACATAAATTTTTATGTCCCAACCAAGGGGGAAAAAGCCAATACTTTTATTTCAAAGTAAATTCTTCTAACCTCAAACATTCAATTTGTGAATGGGTAATTAAAATTAAAACCGGAACAGTTCATTCAGTTACTGAGTTATAAAGGGGTCTTATCTATTGATTACCTATAACAGGGTCTACAAGCTAGAGCAGAGAATTCATCCATTTGCCTTACCATAGCTTAAAATCCAGTCATGCTGCCATTTGTACAATACGGAAAGATAAAGTGTCCATACTGTTTTCTCTAATATAGCAGTTTAAATATTACCACTTCTCAACAGTTCTCACTTACTCCTTTCTCACTTAACTTGCTCACAGAAAAAAATAAAACCATTTTATTATTATTTTTTTCCATGGTGTTTGCTTCATTTTGATATTTATCA